CAAATTTTGTAAAACATCTTAAGAAGTCAACATACATCTTTGGCACCCTCAGGATTCTCATTCTGTAACACTCAGATGATTCTGGAACTCCTTCCTCATTGAGCTCCACAGTAAGGAGATAATTGATGGAAACGTTCTTTGAAGACCTCCACACACTTGGTTCTATCCAATCATAATTCAGACATCAAAATTATCTTCCCTCACTTGTCTATTGAAACCAACAACAAATAAAACACACACTCATTCAAGAAGAAACAGAGAAAATAATGGCAATGGCTCTCCCATTCCCACTCGTGGATCTCAAAGATACTGAAAAGACATTATTTTTATGGCATTAAAAATAATTCATATTGTGAATTAGCTTTCCCATGTCTACTCATTTTAGCATATTGATTTTTAAGCCATGTTTTCTTTCTGATTTGTAGACTATGCAACCAATAGATTTGCAGTCAGCATAGGATAGAGAATTTTAGACAGAAGAACTTTCGTGACATTATTCAATTCATGCGATATAGATTTAATGTTCCACTGTTTTGCTGGCTAAAAAATGTATTATCCTTGTATTTTACAAGGTGTCACTCTGCTTTGGTTGCAATCTTCTCATAGGGATAGGCTGTGTCTATAGTTTAACTCTTTAAAATACGATGTGCTTATTAAGTACTCCTGGATAGAAATCTTAACTATAAGGAAAATATATCTTCATAATAATTTCTCAGCAGATCTTATTGTAGTAATGAATACATCTGCATTCTTAATCCACTTGCAATCATAAGCTTACCTATCACCTCTTAAATGAAGTGAAATTGCTCTTTTTGTTGAGTTTAATAAGTATAGTATAGGGCACATCGCTCCTTTAATGAACGTTTTTTTTTGGAAAATATTATTAAATGATTTTTTTCTCTTTTTGCTTTTTAAAGCATGCATTCACATGTTAAATACTTTTTTTGTTCTAATCAGTTTTTTATTTCACATGCAGAATTTTTTCTTCCAGAGTTTTTTTTAAATAAAATATTTATGCAGGGAACAATTTATTCATTCAATAAATAATTACTAAGAACTTATTATGTGCCAGGTACTATTCTAAACGAAGTTCTTGCCCTCATGGAGGTTATAGTCCAACTTCTTCCAGAGTTTCTTAGACACACTACCCTTCAATTTATCCATTTTTAATATTGTGGCATAAAGGCTAATACATTATTTTTTTAAATGGAAGTGTGATGAGATATCAGCGAATTGTAGAGATGACTTTCCATTGCCGACAAAACTCATTTAACTCATAACATTTTTTCTTAAACTTATTTTATGTTTCATAGTACTTTAAAGATATAAAATGATTCAATTAATTACTGTTTTTACTTCATTTTATTTTAATTTTCTTTGAATATTGGATTAAAATAGATTCATTATGTGTTTTGTGTTGGTAACCATAACTAGGATTCAGTTTTCCATTTTTCTATTTTTGTTATTGATCGCCAGATATTAAAAGATTTCTAACTTTCCTCATATTTGCTATTTCTGTCTAGCTATATAATTCCTCTTATTGTTAAGTGAATTAGCTAAGGACACGAAATAACATTTTAAAACAACAGTTGCAGTATTCTGGAACAGCAACAAAAATCAGATTATGGCTGAAGGTTTTCTACCATCTTCATTCAATGAGACAGCACAGGTCAAGCGGGCAGAAAGTCATAGGAAATTCATAAGCCTGGCATTCCATCAGGGTTTCCCTAACAAGATGTTTAGAAATAGAAGGCAGCTTATTCTGTGACTAGTTCAAAGAATTCTGCAAGCTAGGATTGACATCAGGTCTTTTCCCTGACTGAGATAATCAAAGAATCAGTGTACATCAGCCTCTCTTATTGACTGTCAGGCCAGGAACAGAACCAACCCACCTGAAGTCAACTCTGCCATCATATCTTAAGCCATACTGTTCCTTTCAGCCCATAGAATCTTATGAATAGAAAAAGTGAGGTTTCAGAGGCTCTGATTATAGCCATGAGCACTGTTAACTGAATTAGTAAATTAACTGATGTAAATTTTAGTTGAAAGTTTGACTGAAAAGGAAGCCATGCTTGAATTGGAATACAGTGCAAAGCCTTGGTCACCAATCTTGGATACAGTATTTTAATATAAATAGATTAAAATTTTCTTCAAATAATGTGCTCCCCCCCTGTTTTGATACTTTTAATACAAAAATAGGTAAATTTTTCTCCAAAAGATACATTTCTTAGCAGTGGTGACCTTTGTTTTCAATTTCTTCTGTAAATCTGTTTTTGTCTTTGACTCTTTGAACTTTTATGGTTTTGCCATTAAAGTTTCTCCTTATACTTTTCATCCAGATGTAAACAAAGCTATTGGGCTTTATTCTAGGAACTGGTATTGAGCAACGAAGAAGACAGCCATAATCCCTGACCTCATTAGAGCTGATAGTCTAAAGTAAATGCAGACAATTAATGGTAAATTAAATATGGTATGGCACATGCTAAGACAAACACAAAGTGCAAGAAAGACCATAATGCCATGTGAGGAAATTTAGACATAACTTAGCCATCCCACAACATATTCATATATTAAAACATCATGTTATATACTTTAAATTGACACAATTTTACTTGTCAAATTAAAAAAATACAAAATTCAAAGAACATATAAAAATTACCTCCCTGAACTTAGGGAGTATCAGAGATGGCCACTTGGAAGAGATGTCCACATTTATGAGGCTAGACTCAGAAGATAAATGTAAATTAGCCAATGAAAGGTAGTCAGGATTGAGATTATTCCAGTAAAAGGGAACAACATGTTTAAGGCCAAGAATCAAGAGGGCCACTGTATATATGCTGGGAAATGAAAAATAAAATTTCTTTATAGCTAAAGCAGGGAGTAAAAGACACCAGCAGGACTTATATCATGAAAAGACTTTTAAGCCATAATAAGAATAAAGCATTTATCCAAGGGACAGTAAAGAATCACTGGGAGATGTTAGACAGAAAGCCATCATTTCATTATTGAGAGAACACATTTCAGTTGCTTTACAGATGGTATGTGGCAGAATAAAATGCCAGTGAAAAAACTGGAACCATATTTGAGGGAAGACATAGTAATGACTCTAGGTTAAAGACAATGGAGAAAGAGAGAGAAAAGAATGGAATCAAGAACTATTTGGAAGGTGTAATATATAATTAGTGATTAGATGCAACATGATGAAAGACATGATAAAGGAAGTAGAAATTTCTAGAATTATGTCTAATAAAGGCAATCATTATTTGTATTTTGCTGAAATAGGAAAAACATGAGAAGTAGGTGAGAAGAGGATACACAAGGAGCTCATATTTAGAAGTGTTAACTTTTGGTGGTTGTAGAACATTCATGTGTTGAACAATGCAGTGAAATAGCATGCAAGTGTGGAGATCAGGGGAAAATCTGGACTTGAGAGAGATACCGTTGAGAGCTGTCAGAACGTGAGAAGAATTGAAGTTAAGCATATGGGTAGAATGAGAAGAAAGGAAAGCCTTGGACAAAATCTTGAAGGAGTCAAAATTTACAGTACAGGGAGAAATGCTGGGAAAGAATTCCTTCCTCCTGCAGCTTCACTAAACATCCTCTTTTCCCTTGGTCTAGATGCCATTAACTGTATTTTTACCTGAGCAATGCTGTGTTATAGGTTGACTTCCTTGAGGAAGAATGGCATTGCTTATATATATATATATATTCTTTTGAGAGAGAGTCTTGCTCTGTCCCCCAGGCTGGAGTGCAGTGGTGTGATCTTAGCCCACTGCAACCTCGCCCTCCTGGTTTCAAGTGATTCTCCTGCCTCAGCCTCCCAAGTAGCTGGGATTACAGCTGCACACCACCACACCCAGCTAATTTTTGTATTTTTAGTAGAGACAGGATTTCACCATGTTGGCCAGGCTGGTCTCGAACTACTGACCTCGTGATCTGCCTGCCTCAGCCTCCCAAAGTGCTGGGATTACAGGCATGAACCACCACACCCATCCAACATCACTAACAATTTTTAAGCTTAAGAACCAATATATGTAGTATTTATGTAGTATCTAATATTCTATATATAATATAAAAACCAAGATCGTCTTAAAACCTCAATTATGCTTTGTGGGGAAAAAAGTTATATTGTACCAGATAATCATGCATAGACACTGTATATTTAGAAAATGTATTTTAAATGACTTATGATTTGAATTCCCAATAAGTTGCCTGCCCTATTTCTTTTATAACTACTCTTTTAAAGGTGAACAAATCCTTGAACGGAGACTTGGCAATCTGTTCAGCATGCTATTTATACTTGAAAATTGTTGAATTATCCTAATCATACTTATAGTAACAATCAAGATTAATTGCAGCTATATTAGGATTACTTATTTGTTCTACTTCAGCAGTAACACAAATCCAATTGTACAAACAATTTCCATAATCCAAATTGTGAAAGAAAGTAGGGAGAAAAAAGATCTTGCAGAGCTGGTTGAAATAGTATTCAAAATGAATCTTTAACCAGACTGTTACCTAAAATTCTCTTTTTGATGAGGAGCTGATTCTGAACAGATTGTATATGTGTCTCGCTGGTGGAAGTAGATTATCTGTCTTGAAGTGGATTGTGATGACGATGACCCTATTCTAAGCAAACCAAATCTCTTGAACTATATAATGAGATCAGGAGGAACATTCGACCTGGGAAAGACAGATTGCAATTACTGAGATGATTTTGCTAATGTTTTTTTCCAGCGTCTTTCCTTGATGTACATGATATTGTAATTTATTTTCATGCAGAGATCCCTGATCCTATAGTTTTGTTTGCTGTTTTTTTTTTCTCCTTCACATTTTTTTTTAATAAGCAGAGCTGAATGAGTGCCAGGAAGCTGCGAAATCTATCTTACAAAAAGGTGATTGTGGAAGACTCTAGAATCTTCATTTATTGTGCAGCAGGATTACAGAAAAGCTATCAAGAGTAAACATTTAACTGATACACTCTTATTCCTTCTCTTCAGGCTATAAGGAGGCAAAAGTTGCTTGAACAGAGCATCCAGTCTGCCCAGGAGATCGAAAAATCCTTACACTTAATTCAGGAGTCCCTCACATTCATTGACAAGCAGTTGGCAGCTTATATTGCAGACAAGGTGGACGCAGCTCAAATGCCTCAGGAAGCTCAGGCAAGTACATCTGGGAATCAGCTTCTTTTCTGTTTATTACTTGAACAAAATGTTGCAAAGTTTCTAACTAAATTTATTCAACTAGTTTTCCAGGGTGCTGTTTTGACTGACTGATTTGACTATTCAGAGGCAGGTAGGAAGAAAAAGGGGTCTCGATTATTATTCTCAGATTTATTTTTTAAAGAAGGTAATGGAGGAATTTGAAATAAAGAAACTTCAAAGATAGGAGCAATATGATTTAGTGTTTTGGATTTCAAACTCTACTAAAGCTAGAAGAAAACCATAGGAGAGTAAATGGTAAGAAAATATATTTTGGCCGGGCGCGGTGGTGCACACCTGTAATCCGAGCACTTTGGGAGGCAGAGGTCGGCAATCACAAGATCAGTTTGAGACTGGCCTGGCCAACATGGTGAAATCCTGTCTCTACTAAAAATAAAAAAATTAGCCAGGTGTGGTGGCACACACTTTATCCCTAACCCTAATCCCAGCTACTCAGAACACTGAGGAGTGAGAATCGTTTGAAAACAGGAGACAGAGGTTACAGTGAGCTGAGATGGTGCCACGGCACTCCAGACAGGGACAGAGTGAGACTCTGTCTCAAAAAAAGGAAAATATTTTTTAATGGTACTATTGAAAAGCAGTCTCAAACATTTTATTATAAACTCACCATTGAGTTTAGTCAGATGGTCAATATTGTTTTATAAAAATGTGTTACAAGCAATAACACAAAATTATTGATATAAATCTACATCTCGTTATTAATGATTGTATATGACCTCTCTCCCACTCCCACACACATTGAATTCTTCATTCCAACCAAAATATAAAATGTATTTACCTATTGTTTTTTTATAGAATGAGAGTTAAAATAGTGATGAAAATAAATCTAACTTGACTTTTAAATGAGTAAATTTCAGGCCATAACTAGATTTACATTCACCATACAAAATGTTTTTAAAATGCTGTTTTTATTTTTAATTAACATTTAAACATATGTAAAGTTATTATAGGTATTATTTATTTAAATATCTTTAGGGTTGTGTGATAGTAAAGTAATGTAGCTACTTTCCAAATCTTGTGTACATGTTTTGAACCCAATCAAGTACATGATATGATGTGAGGAGCACTAGAAAGTTATCTGCAAATCTCAAAGCCTTCTCCCCACTGATTGATGAAGATATCAGAAGTTTTTCACTTTAAAATAAATTTGAGGGTGAAATATTAGATTTGTAGATCATGGTTCAATGTAGTTACAGTTAATGAATTACAGTTAATTGGTGCCCTTGGCATCAGTATACACAATAGCATGATTTAATTTACCATATTGTCTAAGTTTGACCAAGAATGTGCCTGATAATATGTGGCAGAGTATAGGTAGTTTGGATAGGCTGAAAAAGTCTGGGGCATACTGTTTTCTTATGGAATGCATACCATTGCAATAGAGGATGAAGAAAGAGAATTTTGGGGAGAATTCTGATGATAAAAATCCTCCCCATAGTTTTTCACGGGGCAACAAGAGTAAATACTGTAGTAGAAATGAAGGACAATAGTAAACATATTTGAAGATTCAATTTTTACTTTTTTCTTGATATATACAAATTGCACATATTTTAGAGGGTACATGTGATATGTTGATATGTACCTATTCCAGTATATACATTTTTCAAACTTACACAAGCCAGGATCTCTAGCATTAACTGCTCCTAAGACTGTCCCAGTTTGAGTCATAATGAAAAAAAGGTTTTTTTATTTATATGTAATATTTGTACATATGGGTACAAAATTTATGTAATATTTTCTTATATGCATAGAATGTGTAATGATCAAATCAGGGTATTTTGGGTATCCTTCACAGGCAGGGTTTAGCAAAATGCATGATAGGAATGAGCAATTGTTCCTGAATTGAAAAGAACTCCATAGAGTAGAACTGCTTTCATTTAAACTAATGACATGATTTTTGAAGGAGTCTTTGATTAAAAATGCTCGTGACTTTCTGAATGTCATTAAGGAAAAAATTGAGCAGTATGAATACTAGACATTAATATTGCAAATTTGTACTTTTTTATTGCATTTTAGGTTTTGGGGTACATGTGCAGATTATGCAAGATAGTTGCATAGGTACACAAAATACATAAAGAACAACCTTGTGACAGACTTGTAGAATGAAACTATGAGTAGCAAATTTGATAGGCAAAGCTATTACACGATTATATTTGAAGAAAACTTGGAGCTTTTAGGGCAAAATGTCTTTAGTTGAAAAGGTTGTGATAAGGGGCAGTGTTTTTTTTTCTTATTTACAAGTGGATTCACGATTCTATAAACATTAATGCACTAGTTTTTAATAAAATATTTTGTTTTTTCCCGAATAAAAAAACTACAGTAAAATATTATTAACTACATCAGTAGAAAAGTACTTGCAAATAGCAGAACACAGGTAAGTTACAAAATTTCAGATCTAGTTCAAGAAAGAGACTTCAGGTATTCATCAGCTCAAATGAATTTTGCATGCATTTCGTGTTGTACCTGCATTGTCAACATAGTTCTTGACACTTAGTCTCCCCAATGGTAATACATAATATTGGAAAATACAAGCCATCTGAAAGCTATTAAAACATTCTTCTGCTCAAAGGTTTTGTTTTAAGATGGCAGTAAGTGAATTGTTTTCTAGAACAGAACTCTCAGGTACTCAGATTTGCTTCAAGGACTATATTTCATAAAAAAAGCAACTTGAAATTCCCATGAAATAAAATAAAGAGTCAAAAGTTAGATAGTGAAATAACATAAGTACAGTGGGTTAGATGAAGAATCCACTAAGAATGCCACCAAAATGTCATTTTAAATATAGATATAGAGAGATGCAATAGATAGATAGATAGATAGATAGATAGATAGATAGATAGATAGATAGATAGATACAGACACACACACACACACACACACACATAGAAAGGGGGCTAACTTTAATGCACTGTGTTAACAAAAATATATTTCTATAAATTTGGATTTACAGATAAAAAGGTTATTGCTAATTAAAATATTAGTGCACTATTATTTTTCTTTTCATAAATGGCATAGTTAGCTTAATTCATCACTGAGAAGCAGGAAAAAAAGTATGATGTTACATATTTAAGTCCTTTTTGAAATATTTACTCAGATTTTCTGTCATATACTGGCCACACAGATTTGTGGGTATCTGACTCCACCATGTGGTACACTGAGAGTTTTGCTTCTTAATTTGAATCTATTAGAGCATTATTTTACTGCATTTTAATATCGTTTGAGATCCTCAGGTATAAACGCTATTGCACTAAGGAAATGCATACAATATATATGACTTTCTGTCAACCATACTCTTGTTATATATACAAGTAGATGTAGACTAAGAAACTTCCTTACATTCACATTTGCATTTATTTCTATGGGAAAGAAAAGAGCTACTCACTTTCTTAGCATGTTAATTGGTCAGTTATTTTTCATGATTAGAAAATTGGGCCCTCTGATCCTAAATTGGATTTAAAATTATTTTACTTATTTTAGTGATGTGAGCTTAGAGAAGTAAAGCTTAATATTTTAGAAAATAAAACAGCTTGCTGCAAGGATGTAAGAGCATGTGTTGACCCAGGAGTATTTTATTTCAAAAAATAGACTTAACCAAATTACAATCTTAAATTATATGACCACAACATCAAACTGCCCAGTGTCAGCTCATTTAATGAGAGATTGTATTAAAGTACAACATTAAGAAAACATTTATTGAAACAGAATAAAGCAAATGGGGAAAGTTCTTGTAGATATGGAATATATCTTAGAGAACAGAAACTTTAGAAATATTTCCAGAGTACTGTGATTAAAAATGTAACAACCTATGAATGTTCCCCGGAAATAATTTAAAAAATAAAATCACCAAATTGTCTAACTGCAAAGAATCCCATGGAACGAATTTAGTCATTTACTGCTCGTGTTTTCAGAACTATATATTGAAGCACAGAGTTTTAGTTTTGGCACCTAAAATTCTAACGCAAAAGTCTAAGTAGCCACACTGAACCCCGGAGCAAACAAATCAAAATCTTTAGGTGGATTCTGTCTTCAGAATTTTGGGGAACTTTTTCACTTATTCTAATGTGTAGCTAAGTTTGAGAATGGCTTTGGATGGTTCCTTACTAGTATTGACTAAATTGTTCCAGTCTATTTTTTCATATAACATTTTCTATCACTCTTTTTTAAAGATTTTCGCCTATGGCTATGTTAACATTTCAATGGGAGGGAGTCAGAGTGGCAATCAAACTACTGGTGATATTCTCTCTTATTTTGATTTTTCCTCTAACAGAAAATGGGTGATGGAAGAAAATATAGCTGAGAGCTATTGCACAGATTTTAATTTGGGCAAATAGAATATTCAATGTAGGTATTTGAGGCTGAACTCAGCTTGGATTTCTTATATTCACTTTTTTCTAATCATATTTGTTAACATGCCAATTAACTTGCATATGGCTCTTAATCATTTTAGGGGACAGTGACAACCATTTAAAAAGCTACTTAAATGTATTGTAATTTTTAAAATTACAAACATACTTCCACATACACTTTTTTCCCCTTTTCTACTAATTTCAGTTTTGAATCTTTGATATGTGAGAACAACCCAACAAGAGCACCTGTTGAAAGTCTCCATGTCATTATGTGTTGATACATATTTTGTAGGGGAAGACATGGCCTTGTTACTTAGATTGCTGCAAGAAAGAGCAGGGTTGCCCAGCAGTGGTTCCAATAGCTTTACTATTCTATTTGTTTTGTCCCAAAGAATTCTGATCTTGTCTTTTGTAACCTCATATTCCATATAGTAGATTTATGTGCAGGAATAAAGGAAGGAAACAAATTATCTTCAAAGGAGAGGGCCTCATAATTAAATATTGAGAAGTACTGCTGCGTTTTGCTCACTGAGCTAGGACTTTCGGTATTCCAGAGTCCGCTACAGATATCCTCCTTCCATCTCTTTTTTCACT